ATTTGGCCGGTTGCTTTTGGTGCAGCTCCACTTGGTTATATAGCTGAGATCATTCCTTTTTATTTATTTATACAGTAACCCCTCCCTATCGTTTAAACATCAATTCAGCTTATCGTTTACCAAAATGAACCCTTGCTGCAAACCCTACCCTCTTACCTAACATCCCAGTGACTCCTCGTGGAAGTGCAGAGGATTTCTCGGCTTCCATCAAAGCGAGTGTCACGTCAACACATTCCTACCCATTCCTTTCTTGACCTGCGTTCAGGCGCGGCTGGCGCTGGTATTGCCTAATTTGAGATCACCAGTTTTTACACATTGAGAATGATTGCTTGTCCCAAGCATCGTCTATTGGTTCTCTGTGTAATTACAGCTGATCTGGCAATAACAGAGTAGCAACCGTGGGCGGTCAATCATGCTCATGCTCATGCTCATGTAGGATTCGGTTTCGCTCCATCGAAAATTCCCATAAGAAACTGTCAATCTTTGCTAATTAGGCAATTTTTCGACGGTGTCTTCAACGCCAACAGGAGTAAAGAGTTACATGCTTTTTTGAGGCTACTAATTTTTGAGTCGAGGGTCACTCAGTTCAGTCAAAAGGGAAGTTATGCATAAATTGGTATGGAGGAAACTAGGTAACTTTTACTAAGATGATGACATTTGTCAATTGAGTAAACTTTACCTATTTCGATAGAAATGAATGAATGCCCCATTAATGCTATATACAGAGTGACTGGTAATTCGTGTTACACCCGAAAGGAGGTAGGCAAGAAGACAAAATTTGCTGCAAAATATGATATGGCAAGGTAGGCCGAAAAATCATGCCATACCGAGTTATTGATCTATTTATTTTACATTGCCGAGCAACACTACCACTTTTTGCTCGGGCACTCGCGAATATTACCAAAACCCGCCAGGGAGTAAGCATTGCTTGGCTACTATGATCAATCTACGTTTACTAACCACTCTATTCAAGTGGCACAACAGGCTTACGTTTAATGTTTGAAGAAAATGTTTGATGGCTTATGAATACCGGAGCAAACTGAGGCACTTTGAATCAGTAGAAAATTAATTGCTCAATAACTCGGTAAGGAATGATTTTTTGATCTACCTTGCCATAACATTTTTTGCTGTAAATGTGGTCTTCTTTCACCTTCACAGTTCGAAAAATTAGTGTAAATTTCTGTTCAATATGATGCACATAAATGGAGCGTCTCATATCATATACGTTTACATTATATATCATGTAAAGTTCTGACACATTGCATGCTATGTAGCAAATATTGTATACAAAAGCCCATCTTTGTAAACAATATTGTTTACAAGTTGCTTGGTTGCGTGAAATGATATACAAGTTTACGTGAATGATTGTTTACATCACAATTAAAATTCAGAATTTTTATCTGTGTCCTTTCGGGTGTAACATGAATTACCAGTCACCCTGTATATAAATTATTTCGTCCAAGAAGAATGTAAAAAAAAAACATTATGAAAATGATACTTCTGTACTTATTGATACCAACGAACCATTTGTTAGAGTTGTATACCTCACCAACTAGCTGCTGATAGCTTTCACCATCCAGGCTATTACGTAGCGCTGCTCTATTTTCACTGCTTCACTTCTAAAAGCTGGTTTTACACTGAGGCGAATAGACTTAAGCATTTCATAAGGGTCAACTTATGAACGACACATATGAATTTCATAAGCACGACTTATGAAAGATTTTCGTCTAACATGAGGTTGCTCTTCTACGCCATTAGCCATTCCATTCCATTCAGTAACAGGACCCGTAGTCTCAACGTCCATGGATCGGTTCCAGTCTGCTCAGTTTTATTATTTTTTGTCGACATTATTTTTCTTAAGGCAAATCTTTGAAATTCACACCGATTTCTTGAGACTAAAATTCATGAGTGGTTCTTATGGAACTCTTACGTTCTTTTGCCTCAGTGTAGACTCACTGCGCAAAAACCGCCTGTTCACAATTTTAAAGTGCGCTATTTCGGACTTTAGAAAAATTGATATCATAACCATTTACCGAGAATCTGCGTAGATTCCACTCATCGGAGCGAAAGCTTACTCATTTTTTGACAACTCCATACAGCATGCAAAAATTTGTGCGATCTACCCAGTCACTGAGGCTGTGTTCCATTTGGTGAATTTTCACTTACATTTAACACTTCGAAAATAAATTATAATGTTTGAAAATCCCTCTGTTGTTGATCATCCAATTTTCAAGAAGGTGTTTGTCAAAATTGATTCCTAGTCTGTCAGAAATGAGTCTGGTACAATAGCAGGTTTATTTAAAAATATTCCATATTGAAAATTCACCAAATGGAACACAGCCTAATAATAGCATGTACAGAGCTGCCGTCCAAGGTGACTACATATAGGTGTTCTAATGTGTCAAATTCATGATTCAGCCATGTTGGATTTTTGTATGGGACAGCGACCGAGATTGTTTACAATTTACTCTAGAACCGCACTTTTCTCCCCCGCGATCTCTTCGCCCATATAATGAGAAAGCTGTATCATCATGCTATACCCACCATGCCACCGGCAACGTCAATGCTTACACACTATTTCAAAACTTCCCAAATTTGGGTAGAATCCACCCAAGTCGGTCAAAACTTGACCTACCCAAAAATGGATAAACTATGTTGGGAGTGACAAGTTTACAAATGGACAACATTGACAATCCGATTGACGTTGTTCATTTGTTAACTTGTCGCTCTAAACATAGTTTACCTATTTTTGGGTAGGTTCAGTTTTGATCCAACAGGGTGTATTATAGTCACATTTGGGTAGTTTTCAAATACCGTGTACACACCAAATTTAAATCGCTGGAATTCAGTAAAATTTTGCTGATTTTGAACTTGATGAAAGATCAGTAAACATTCCAGCAAAATAATGCTTTAATGACAGCGATTAACTGATTTTCCAGTAAATTTCTGGAAAATATTACTGAAACAACAGTAAATTATTTTTATTCTGTTTTTACTGAAAGCACGTTTTAGTTATATGTTACTAATTGTTTTATTTCTTATCTTCAATATGTAACACTATAAAACACTTCAATAATTACAATTAAAGCACTATACATTTGAAGACACATGTCATTAGTAGCCACCGTTGATTGGAACGACCCTCTCGGTAGGGACCTTGCAATTTGGGACAACTTTGGTGGTTTCAATTCAGTTCAGGCTGGCAGCTGCAGGTCACTTGGATTAATTTCGTTTAAACCTTCCATTTCGCGTTGCATTTCGCCAGTAGTTATTGACGTCATGAGCTCGTCAAGCATAAGCTCATAGCTATCAAAGCCCTTCGTGCTGCTTCTGCGTCCACGGAGAAAATGGGAAAATGTCTTCCGATGAACTGAGCGCGATAGAGCCACCGAGCAATAACGCCATTTGGTGAGATTGGGCAACTTCAAGAATTGCTTGAAACTGCAATAATAATGAAGAATAATGAAACGGTTTTCAAAATTTTAAAAGAAAACTATTTACCTTTGGATTTGTTTTGAGGTTGAATATTTTCGGAATCGTGGCATTGAAAAAAGTGTCAATCACAATGTTAAAATATATTGTCAGGTAGCGTAGCGGGATTTGCAAGACCTGTCATTTAAGTAGACAAGAAGAACAGCTTACTGATTATCAGCAAACAAAATTGACGTTTGTCTATTTTACTGGATTTCAGCAATGCTAAAAATGCTAATACTGAACTCCAGCAATGAATTGTTTTGCTGAACCCATTTCAGCAAACTATTTTGCTGAAACTCAAAATCGAAATGTGGTGTATACTGAGCATGCAGCCAAATATCTGCACACTAAAGAATCTTCATGTCCGATTTACGTGAAATATCAGGAACCTGATCTGTATTTAGAAAATCTCAAATGCTACGTGACGTTAGTAACTTTGATCTGCATTACACGTCATGTCCACTAAAACTGTTGGTGAAAATGACCGTAAACAGAATTAGTGTATTTGTGTTTGTGTGTTTGGGACTTCGATATTTCCGTGAAATTAGATTTACGTGATTTTCAGGTACGCAAAAAAAATCAATATGGCGTCACCGAGCGTGGTGGAAGAACTCCTCAAAGATTCAAAATTCCTCAGCGCTTGCTGCAAATGTTGGACGGTAATTAGATTCTTTTACATTAATTTATTTATGATTATATGTAGCCTTTTTCTAGTTTTATAATTTCAGACGATGTCATCAGCATGTTGAGTCTGCAAACAGGTGTTAATATTTTGTCAGAAATTAAAAAAAAAACTCATACAAGTTTCCACCTTGTAATAATCAATTAGTCAATATTTTACAATTTTATCTTCCCGATAAAATTGCATAATATTGACTGGCTCTATGTATACTTCCGATTATTCTCATTAAAAATTCACATACAAATTACATGAAAAGCATTAGTTACAAAGTTACCAGATGTCCAGAGAACGCTTGCGCAAAACAGACTAGGGTGGGAAACGGATTTGAAACTCAAATGTCATTAGTTGTATAATTGGCAATGCACCCGTGTACTGAATGGGAATTGTGGGTTCGAATCCCATCGGTGCCCTTAAATTTTTTCGCAAATTTTCTCACACACGCGTCTCTTACCGATGATGTGTGCTTACCTCTCAGTATGTTTTGTAGAAAATGTTTCGAAGTTTTACGTGAAATCAAAATATGTTCAGTACTTATGTCTCCTGCTATTATTCATCCCACTCACGAAAATCTTCACACACCAACGAGAGCTTCCATTCAAATTGAACGACGAAATCAATCGAAGATCATTTTCTGGGAAAAGAGTAGCTTATTATTTATTTCCACCCTGTGCACAGCAATTGAAAGACAGTTTCCCGGGTAACCACTTCTGTTTGCCATGGTATTTTCATGGCTTGCTACGACACCGGAGGACGTTGTCAATCCTCTCCAGAGTTCAGAAACAAATGTAATTAATTTTCGTTTCTGTTTTCTTCTCTCCTTTCGGTGTTTTTTTTTTTATTACAGGAAAACAGTAGAAGCCCGATTATTAGCTCCAGTAGATATTTGCTAGTACTTGGACCGTACAACTCACACGTAGCAGTTTCGTAGGCAGTTCCGGTGTGAGTTAGCCCCTCTCTATATTTCTCTCCCCCGGTACCCGTTCCCCTCGAAATAGCACGGGCGCAGGTCGCTCACACAAGTTCAACCCGTGCAAGCGAGAGGGGACCAACATAACTTTAAAGTGATGTAATAAAAGCACAATGTCAAATATTGACATATCGACGGCAGCAGTAGCAGCAAAAACATGGACGAAAAATACTTGGCGACAACTAGTACATCTGCTGATGGTGGCAGCGCTGATCCTGGCCATCCCGGGCAGCAGCACTAAACAGCTGGCCGTATCGGCAGAGGGCAATATCGGTAAGTACCTTCATCCGGCGGTTGTGATTCCTTTAGCTGTGTATTGAATTTCCGATTTTTTTTTTGCTGAACGGATATTGAAAATGAGGTGGAAAGTTTTTTTTGCGATCGCATCGAGAAATTCAAAAGTGGATATTTACCGTTCAGCTCGTTGCCTTAGGAGTGAAGCGGTTCAATCAATTGGAATGTATTGGGTGTTTTGTGCGAGTGTATCTCACGACAAACTCTTGAGCAACATGTCAGAGGTAAAATTTCACAGATTTCGGCAAAATAATCTTAGTGTGTATGAAGGGCCAATAATTGGGTAGATCCGTGGGCAACATCGCCCATGTACCTCCACGTTATAGTTGATAATCTCCTTCCAATAACAGGATCATACAACCGGTCAAGAAACAAGACCATCCAACTGGAGGTTGTCACAATGAGTGGGAAGAAGAGCCCGCCCTCTATTCACTTAATGTTAAAGATAGGGGGTTGGCATTCCTAATCTCCCCATCAATTTCGCTTCAATTGGTTTCTCTCGTCACTCCCGTACCAATCATTTTATGTTTCATATAATAATGGTTTGGAAATTAAGAGAAAAGTAAGGGAAAGATCACACCCCATATGTTGCAAAGGAATCCATTCTGTTGCAACAGAATCCATGTTAACAACTGCACTCTCGCCTTTCCTTCTTCAAACAGCAGCGGATATATTAGCATAGTAATCTAGATGGGCGTCCAACAATTTGGTGCAGCTTGGATTAGAGGAGCATTCTATGGTGCTGGTTACTTATGGAGTAACCATGAGTAACCACCAAGACAGGAATGCTGCCATTTGATGGACTCTGAAACAAAATTTCAGACAGTAATCCCAAGTAGCAATTTGGGTTTTATGAGGGTTCTGAAGACCATGATTTAGACTTGTAGAACACAAACCATGATAAAACTTAAAATGTTACTTGGGATAGTTAGGTGGTGTAATGCCATTTTAATAAAATGCAGGCTATTTTTTCAAAAGAACCTGAACAACATTCCGAGAAACTTTTCCCAAGACGCCTATAGCCAATAAGATGATGAGAATGGTTTTGACCAGGGGGAACGACACTCATTTGGCTTTATTTTTTCAGTCAAGTAATTACTTGGGATTTTCGGGAAAAAACATAATTGATGGGATTTTTTTGAGTGTGTCGTGTTGACGAAAATAGAGCAGGGATAGAAAAAATAGATGGGAATAGAACAGGCAATTGATGTGATGTGAGGGGTGTTAAAAAATTTCAGAGGAATACGAGTCTGAACGCGAAGAGGATAGGTGGAAAAAGAAGAAAAATTTGCTACAATGAAGCGTCCATGAAATACGTAACGCTTATAGGGGAGAGCGGGTCATCCTATATCGTTAAGAAATATACATAGAGGAGGAGTAGTAAAGCTTTGCGTTACGTATAAAAGAGAACATTTTGTTTTTTTTTTCGTTTCTTGATGTAAAGTTTAAAAATACAGGTCTTTTTTGACGTTTTAGGCAACGACAACGAAGGCTGTCATCACTAAATCTTGCTTTGCAAAATGGATCTGTTTTAATTTTATAAATTGAGATTTTTGCTATCCTTGAACTTTTGAAAAGGAGGTACTCGATGGTACGCTGATCTTTTGTTTTTGTTTTGAATATTAATAATATAATTAATTACCTACCTAATAATAGAAAAAAAAAATACAAAACAAAATCAAACATTAATTAAATGAAAAGGCGGGTGGGGGGGTATAGACCGTTACGTAATAAATAGAGGGGGGTCATTTTCAGTGTAACGTTTTGTTCAAAAGGGGGGGGGGATTTTGATTTTTAGCGAAACGGAATTAATGGACACCGCTCGGGACACCGCCCAACTATAATAACCAAAGCTCACAGCTCAAGTACAGAAAACGGTTCCGCACCGAATAGGTTTAAACTGCACAGTAGGAGGAACGGGTGATGGCGATGGATTACAAGGTTCCGGTTAATATTCCCAGCTGTATTTGGACGGAAATTTGATTCGCAATATTCTCGCACAGAAATACATCAGCCGGTGGGTGTCTTACTTCACAATTAGCTCTTTCTTATCCGAACCCTTGACCAGCAGCAGAGACGAGTAAAACTTGGGCCGAGTGGAAAAAATGACCTGAATTCCTTTTCCACCTGCTTGTCGTAGGGGGTTTCATTGGTAAGGCTTTTCCCGGGGCTAGAATCAGCCGTTCGAATGAAATCAACAGTTGCTTCGGCCTGTTCTGTAACTTCCATGCTACAACACACAGATACCCGGGCTCATATCCGTCGAATTCGATCGTTGAGTCCGGGAAATGGATGTGCGTTGACGTCTCCTCCGTGATGCACTTGATGTTTTTTGCCCCCGAGACCGATTATAGAAGAATGGTCCGTAATCTTTTTTTTAGTTTTCGCACCGATTTTTTACCGGCATGGCCAGCTGACATACGTGGTGTTTGTTGTGGAGAGTGTTGTAAACTGACAGTGAGTATGGCAGAGTGCTTCGCGGTCGACCTGAAAACTTCGAGAAACTGCACGGCTTGCTAGACAATTTGTGTGCATGCAGAAGGGATAAGTTGGGAATAGAAAGAATAGATAGGATGTATTGAAATTTTGTGCACGTTGAAAATTATACGAGAGGTTTGCGTAAAAATGGGATAATCCTGAAGTGTCGTTCCCCTGGTTTTGACCGTTTTTTTTTTCTCAGAATAGTCCCACTGTGGTTATTTAATTGCATTTTCTGTGAGTAACGGTTGACAGTAATTTGCAACTAGTCATCCCTTACATCGCATAAACAGAGGCATAGACACCTATACATGCAAATTGATGTGGCACAAGGCACGAAGCCGACTTGTGTGGAAGAATTTTACATTCCACGATGACGATGTTGACGACGACGACGACGACACGGTGATAAAGGAAGCAAAAACTCATCAATTATGCAGCTCTCGCTCCGGAATGTGGTGGCTTGTACGTGTGTGCGTGTGTGTGGGTGGACTGCTTTGAATAATTAGACTCCATAATTCCATCTGGCTCCAATTTCCCCACGGATTGGGATTATCATCGAAACGGAAAATGAAATACGCTTAGAAGCTGTCCACAAACTACGTAGGTAATGTAGAGGCGGAAGCTTCCTCGAACAAAGTCGGTCAACAAAATGAAAGCAAATCGACATTAAACTTTGCAGTTCCTATCATAATGAAAACTCATTTTGATTTCAATTGTCGCGACATATGTCTTGTATCATATTATACTGGCATGATGCCATGCAACAATGAATGCAATATAACTTCAATTTTTGCTGTTAACGTTTATGTTCATCTATCGTTTAACAACGATTACTGTTCATTTGTTTTGTTCAACACATTATGTACATACAGTGTTCCCAAAACCGAAGGGTTTTATTTTGCATTTTTTTTTTATGATTTCGATGATTTTGGACCACCGAGAAGTGGAGAGGACTCATCTTCATGACTTAGATCCAGATAACAATTGGATGCTTAACAAGTGTTCTTTCAACGATTTTAATTCAGCCTTAGTTTGAATAATTGTTATGCATAGACCACGTTAACCTTTGTTCAGCTTTTAAACATCTAAATCTGGTGATGCCGACAACTTGATAATAATATAAATTTAAAGCTTTTTAAGGCATTAAATAACAGTATTTGTTCACCCTTGTTCAGCCTGCTATTTTTTATTTAAAAAAAAAAATCATGGAAGACCGCTTCATATATTATAATTGTTAAGGGACTGTTTTAACTTAATGCTGACAAAGTGTATTCACAAAAATATTTATATTGTTATAATAAGTCTTAAAATTGCCTTTGCATTTCGGGATTCGAACCGGCAGTCGCTGATCTACAGGCGTCTACCATACCTCCTGGACCGCTTAAGCATAGGTGTGTCAAAAGGTATGATCGTTAACTTGAAGGACGTCAAATTTAAGTTGATTGATTGATTGATTTATCTCTATTTAGGAGGCTTTCAGCCTGAGGCTGGTTCGCCTCCACCTTTTAAATTGAATAATAATGGTCTAAAAATTCAGTGCAGTGAGTGTATACAACCAGTCAACATACAGAAATACGTCGTTGCAGTCCACTTATTTCTGAACATATTCCTCAAAAGCTCCTCTTCCTTGTCTCTACTGCTGGTGCTGCTTGGAATTAGTAAGATAGGCACAGTGAATTAAGAAGAATTAAAATGTCGGAAATGCAACGCGTAGAACTGACGACATTTAACAATATTGTGCAATATATTCAAATTATTCTATCAGACTATCAAAATATTTGTAGCGCATTGATGATTTGTGGAGTAGTGTTAAGCTTAAATAAGTCTTGTTCAGTCTTCAGTTCAGCTAACTTATTGAAGTTGAATTATGGGGATACAATTCGCTTCATGCACTACTAATCAACTATATATTCAGCCTGATGTTAATCAGCTTCGTACACCTTAAATCAACCAATAATCAGCTTCTCTTTTTAATGTTCAGCTTGAATTGTTACTTGTGGACTTAAATAATTTTAATTTTATTAAAAATTGTGATCACATGGAGCGAAAATACATAATTTTCAAAATCCGTTTAATAGAGCCCCGTCCCAAAATCGAACGGCTTTGTGGTTTTGTTGCCAAAATCGAACCATGCCAAAGTCGAACGGGTACTGTACTCACAGACAATGTTTCTATTTATAAAAATGCAATGGAAATGCCCAAATCTTTTCTTTCTTTGAGTTGGCTCCTTCTTTATACTATAAACTGTTCTTTAACGGATAAAAGCTTTAAAAAATTCTATTATAAAATACTCATAAATGATGTTGCTCTTGGAATTGACTGGAAAGATTCAAGATACAAAGAAGGTATCTTGAAATGATCTCTGACAGATAAAAGCTTTTGAAAATTCCATCTGACTATTCTCAAAAGTAACATCTTTCTTGGATTTGACTCTTTCTTTACAGCATGAGCTGTTTTCTGACATTTTTTTTTTTGTTGTGAATTCAAATAAAAAATAA